AGACCATTCTCGGATCCCCAGGTGGACTTCCCACCTCCTTAGCCTAACCCACTTCATTTAGGTCCAGGCCCACAACATTACCCCTCTTGGCCCTTCTCACATAGACTTTCCTTACCGGGGGCCTAACAGCTACAGTGTTTTTCTCTCACAAAAAATTTGAATTTCAAACGTTAGAATCAAGAATCATGGTCTGAATATACCTTCCAAACGGTCCCTATGTAAATTTTGAATTATTATTAGATATTTTTTTAATTTAAAATTATGTTGATTAGATTGAGATTATTCACATTTAGGTGTTGGGATTTTAGGGAGGTAGTTATCCTTATAATATCTATTTTAGTTGAATCAACAAATCTTATGAATTTATCATCTTTTTTCTATTTTTATAACGTTTCCGCTACATCAGTCTCAAAGTAAGGTTGTTGAGCAATTACTAAACAAATACTTCCCAAGTGGAACTAGAATTGATTTAGATACGAACCGAAAAAACTGATCAATCAGCCTCAAGGTTTCCTTCTAATTGCATCCACGCTTAAATTTAGTTTTCATTCCTTGTGGGCTCCTTTCTTAACACTCAGCTAATAACTTGATAGTGGAACGAAAATATTTAAGAAGACGTTTGGTTCATGGATTAGAATCATGTGATTAAAACCATTTTCGATTTACGTGTATTTTTTGTGAGAGAAAATACTGTAGCGAATCATGAACCATGATTCAAATCATGGTTTGAATCTTCCAACCAAACGTCCCCTTAGGTTCTATAACTATTATACCATCTTAAATAGCAATGCTGTATTCCAGAAATAGTAGAACTTAACAACTCATTTCATTAATAAAAGAAAGATTAATATAGCATCAAAAGTAAACTCTTAATCCTTTTGCCAATAAGACAAACCAAGAAGTTCAAAAATGCACCTTTATGGTAGCTTTCCCCCTTCCTTCATGCGAATGATCAACTTTCAAGACCTATATATATATAAAACCCAAAAAAGCGCTTATACATAGCTGACAGTGGAATAAAATGAATTTTATACAAAACAACTTCAATTTTACCTCGTAAATTCGATCTGATGCAAGTATTTCCGCCATTATCATTAAACGAAATTTATTTATTTTTTGTCCAAAACAAAAAAGAAATCTTTGTCAGTATAAAGGTTTTCATCAGAACAGGAATCCAAACAAGAAACTACAATCACCTTTCTTCTCAATAACATTTCCAGCTCTCAACTGCAACAAAATCGACAAAAATAAAATAAAATTCACACCAAAATCCCTCAGAAACACAAAATCAATCGACAACTCGATCAATTGCTATCTGTTGAAGATGTTTCTCTCAACCATCTTGAAACTTCATTCGTATTGTAATTTTTCTCTTTTTAAATGAAGTTTTTGTCCTTATAAAAAAAAATCATCAAGATCACCGATCTTCTTCCTAGATAAAAAAAAAAA